CTTTGAGCTACCTGTTGAGCGTTTCCAACACTCCCACTAGGACCGTGTGGGACCTCTTCCAGCATCAAAATGACAGGTTGTCACAGCGATCGATCGTTTCACTAGACGAGCCATCGTCTTCCCTGTGAATGGTATTTCTTGAGATAGTGGGTCATAGTTCTATTCGACAATATTTCAAGAGTTCACTCGTCCCCTTGGTATGTATAACAAACACTATTACTATGTTGTCTGACACTGGTGGGTCAACAAAGTTTGAAGCGCTAAAAAATGAGAAGGTATCTCGGACCGCAAACATGTACTCGAAGACAGGTGCACATCCAAAACATTTTACTGGACCCGGTAACACTACATTCAGGTAACTCTATTTGTGAATGTATTTACTGTTTATTGACTTTCTGATTAGATTTTCACTTCTGTGGACTTAATGTTACACTTTTTCTGTTGTTAGTTGCTACGCATAACATGGACCTAATTTTCCATATAAACTTTTTCCGAACATACAACACCTGAAATCTAGAGGGAGCTGAAAGTACAAGAACGTAAATATTAAGTTAGCAATCTGCAGAAAACAACACGGAAGATTTCCGCGAACAACAGTCTCCCACCAACATTCCCTCCTTCCACTCACTTCTGCAAGTAAAACCTTTTCAAGTCTTCTAAGGCACCGAACATTAAATTACCAGCAGTTTTGTGACAGCGAAATTCTAACGTTATATGCATTGAGATGATCTACAGTCCCTAGAAAGACCTTCAAGAAAACCTCTCCATACCTGATTCGCAGCTGGTATTCATCAGGTATAAGGTGACAGAAATTAAAATTGGTGTAAACAGTAGGTGTTTTATTCAAACTGATCGACTGTTCTTACATGAATGCTATATCGTTGTGTATAGAATACATGGAAACCTAGATGCCAGTATTAAGAAGGTAAAACTTACTCCGATTTGCATTACTTATAGAGCAAGCAGGCTATTGTAACATACATTAGACTATTCGCTATTCACACATATACTCACGTGTTAACTGTTATCTGATGCAGCGATTATACATTGAGTGATAAGCACAAGCAACAAGCCTCTTAACTGTGCCCTCATTTCCTGTCACTTACACTTAGAGCATATAGACAATTTATAGTTTGAGTGAGTTTCCAAGACCGATACTGAGAGACTCAGTACGTTTGTAAGCACCCAAAACATTTTGTACCCAGGATGTGTCACACAGAAGTAGTATTCATCTAGATAAACAATGAGTAGTAAACAGAATGCCCGGAGTTTGTTTCTGAGTTAACTGTGAAAATGATTGGGACATTCAGTTTTACCTACACTAAGTCTCCCCAAAATATTCGCAAACCAAGAGCTAATAACTTAGTCTGTGTTTATATCAAATAAGTTCTTAGTCACTCCATTGAATTCCTTAATTCTTTACACCTTTCACACCAGTTTTCAATCATTTTTCACCCGAAAGCAGTTCGGTCTCTGTACTCATGAAGCTCAATAGTTTATGCATCCGACTCCCGAAAGTACGATTACAACTTTACATAGCATCCTAGCCATTTATGACAGTATTACTAGGTAGTACAATACAAGCATAGCTTACTGACTAACACGCAAGACTGTACATCTAGGTAGTAAGCTGCTGTCAGAGAAGACAACTTTAAAAATGAAACCCGAAATTTACAACTGACTTACGGGGATATCACAAAGAACATGAATTATGCATAAGAATCTTTGATTTCTTGTACATCAATGCACAATTATTTCATATGCTTTTCAAAGAGACTATTTCATTAAAAAAAAGTCATGCGTAACAGTAGTGATGCCTCAGTTTGTAATGATAATAACTGCGACATTCTCAGTCAACAAACATAGCACAAATTATCCGGAATGGACTTTATAATGTGGCCTACGACAGAAATAAACATTGCGAAACAAAAATATAAAAAAATATAACTTCTTTTTTACACCAACCTTCAGATAGTTAGATAACAGTGTATACACGAAATGTTTGAACTATTTCGCAACTCATTAGTGAAAGTAAATGAACGTGAGGAAAATGAGCAGGAAGTGCAACTTTTCCACATATTGGTGCGAATAAACAGAATAACATAGTCTTGCAAAAATCAAGTCGGTTAAATTCGCAACCATACCAAGATGAGTTCAAAATAATATGGTAATGGAATACATGAAAAGAGTAAAAAAACTAAACTTTGAGAAGACATCCAGATTTTACGAGATAAACACATAGGCATCACTGTGATGGATTTTGGGTAATGTTACCTGGATTTCCCAGCCACTACTTTTTAAAATCGGCATTACTATTATCAGTTAGTCTAGACCTGCAGACAAACATTCACTAGCTCCACAGATTGTTACTACCCCTCGATACGACTATGTGTAGTCTTCTTCCTGTCTACGCCAACTCCAGGTAACATGACGCATAGTTGTGGGTTGGCATAAGTAACGTTGGCCCAACATCTCAAATGCTGATATTTTGATACCTTTACCAATAGCCTTACTTCCCTTTTTCAAGACTTCGCACTTCAACATTACACTCAGACTAGTCCCATCAAATAAAACTAGTACGAAAATACTCGACTTTTTCAGATCACTACATTGGTTGTTTGATACATAGCCAAATTTCAAGCCAAAGCAGGAAATAGCACAAATTGGTGGATAGCAAATGAATCTTTTGTGCCTGTAGTGAGCTATTGTTCAATGACTATTTCCGAAAAGGCTGCAAAACTTGTTAGCCTTCTCAACCTTCGATTGGAAGTAACTGTCTTCGCCACTATCCACAACAGATTGATTGGATGCGGGATCAGAATACTTTAGCAACACGACCACCAGTTCCTGATGCAAGTCTTGTTATATTTTTCTCTTTGTATTCCAACCGACGCTACAGACATGATATAAAGATTAACTGTAGTTTTCCAACGAGTTATAGACCTTAAGCAGTACGATATATTTGCATCTTTATCTGACTTGATAATAACAGCTGCCAGTATTAAATCAGTATTCGCTAGGGGTAATTGTCAAAACGGCACTGCAGCAAACAACCGATATTTTCAGTCGGTTGGCAAGAGACTCCGAAAGTATCCAAAAGATACATTTCTGTTTAACTTAGCCAACCTATTTATGCGCTGAAGTAACCTGCTGGTGTCACTGTACTGAATGCTCGATCATTCAATGAGAGTTTCACCGCCCATATTCGGTGAAGCAACTATGTAAAGAACATATAGGTCAGGTGTGGTCCTAAAAACAGTCATTTGACATGGTTGCGAACCTTCATCGACTGAGACGGATTGTGCATGACAAATCAGTGTCACTTTTGACGCACAATGTTCGCAGACAAAAAATAGGCTAAGAAAAGTTTAAAAGTGCTCACAACAAAAGGCAACATCTGTTCATGATGTCTCTAACTGTCGCTCTGAGCTGTGTAGAAACATAGATTTCATCGACGGTGTTAGAATGATAACCATAATAAGTGCCTGGAAACCCTTTTTGAGTCAGTCTCAGTGCATCTACATATTTCATTCACCATGATTAACATATCACATTTCATTATTTGTTGCACTCCCTTTCCTTCTGTTCTTTCCACAAATTACGGTTGCATTTTCAACATTGCCCTATAACGCATCGTGTTACGTTGTATCTTGAAGTGAGGCGTGACAACTTAAGCTGTTGTATAAATTGTCAGGTACGACGTTGATATTGACTTACAGCTTGGTATTTCACAGAAAGATTGATAACCTGTGATAAGACTTATTCTTCACATCTTCGTAACTTCATTTAATGGATGTGCATGTGCAGGATAAAAAAAAATGCGCTTTCTTATTCAAAATTGACCTAATTATTATTTTCGTAAATCCTATAAATACCATGCATTTTTTCTACTTGTGGTCAGCGTCCTAGAGGTGACTATATAAACTGATGACCACCTACGTTGCACTCATCTCAATCGTAGACTGCTAGCACAGAGACTACAGTGTATCATGCGACCATATTACAGAAGCATCCCGTCTGTTACAGATCCTCAGAGGTCTCCAGTACATCCAAACATCAGATTTCGACTCTGCGTAAGGATTGTGGCAAGTGATAACAACTACCTATAACGATCGAAGTTGCCATGAGCGCTCCATTTCAGAATGTGCAAGCTTCACCGAAACAAGAGGACATACTGAAAACCTATGCATTCAACAGTAAGAATTACGTTAGAAAGACGACATAGGTAGCCTAGATGAAGTTTTGTCACCTTAGCTTTCTCCATACGAAGACTAACCATTTTTTCAATCTTAAAATCAACGAAAAACTATTCAAACACACTCCCTGGGGATTTCCAAAGATTAACTATGGATAACGAATGTTAATAGATTCCTAAAACTATACTAAGTGTACGCAAAGTACAATTTTAGTTGCTGACCTATAAAACATTAAATCCATCCCACGTAACTTGTATGCAATCTCACAATGACGCTAACATACATACGCAGTTAAAAAAACGTTGATATTTTTATGATCATAACCACACGGTTCCTTCAGAAACAACCTTAGAGTTGGACAGATAGTAAAGTGCAAATGTAAACCGGCATTCCCAGAATTCAGATGTTTGGTTTACAAGTACTATCAGTTCGTAACTAGCAACGTGAAAGCTAGCAGATCGATTGAGGGTTCGGATATAAAAAGTCTGCAATACTGCAATAAACTTCCCAAGGTTGAAAAAAAGTTCTAGCAACAAGCGACTGTGTAAACCTACTAAAAGGGTGTAACCACTTCACAAACCTATTCTTACGCGTTACAGTCGACAAATGATTGACTCAAAGGGGAAATTTCAGGTAAAGAACTGGCAGATCAGTAACTTTGTCAATAAATGGTAGCTGGCGCTGCATAAGTGTAATGTAAGTTACAATCTACAGTCCGGACACGATGAAACTTCAATAGTTTGAAGAAAGAAACAAAAATATCAGCGCTTCAAACTAAATAACTGCTCTAGCTAATAACATAAGTTATTTTGGAGGATTCCACGGTTGCACTTTCGGACGAGTAGTTGAGTACGGAATGTATTTCTTGGACGGATCCAAAGTCAAATTTTCCGAATGTTCGGCAGACCACTTGTGTGTTGTAGGTTGATTTGATGCCGGACTTTCATCTGTCATATAGTGCAGCCAACGATGCCTATATTTTGATGCTAAGGAATGAATGATAACTAACCATTCAGGTGGAACTTGAGATCCCTCGTAATCCCAACCAAACCTATTGGAGTATACGACCCATCGATTCCTCCCTGACGTTAAATGAGTGAAAGAAACTCACCCACAAAGTACTTATTATTTTCGTAGTACTTGTTTCCGAATTTGTCTGTGCCAACCAAAGTCCCCCACTTCAGTTCGTCGGTCCTGGGATGATGAAAATTGAAGTAAACATTATACCTGAACAATGTTAGAAAAGAACCCTTTATACCACCATTATGACGTATTATAGTTCTCAGTGTATTCAATTTCTCCATCAGAGACATATCGCTTAGAAAGAGCGCTTACCTTTATTTAAATTCCAATATCTGTTCAACGAGCTTGCGTAAGCCAGTTGATCTCTTCTTGCTAGCCTCTCGGTCTTGTGGAACGGTCCCAGGTCTCTGGTGGTATCCGATGCAGTAGAACCAGCCATCCATCTGCTATAGCTCTGGTATACAAAACAGGAAGTTGAGTGTCTGTAAGTTTACCTGGGATTGTGGTACAGTTGCGTTCGTCAGATATCAAGTTGCCAAACAGTTTTTCGGACTGATCGTTAGAGAGTGTTGGGAATACTGAGGGCGAAACCCAGAAAGACAGACATATGCGAATAAAAAGCAAAGAAGAGTGAGCTGATGGAGTAATCTACTTACACCCAAGTAAGGCGAGGGGGGCCAAAGATTTGAAGAACTTAGATAGGTGAGGTTAATTCGTAGCAAGTAAAAGGATGAAAAAGGGCCTAAACTATTACAGAAGGAAGAGGATAGGTGTAAAAGTAACATGGTTGTAATGGCGTGACAGCAGTCGATTTCTTCTGTCTAGTTCGTATCCCAAATACACGTGGGTAGTACGTGGGTCTCTGAGTGATTATCTATCCTTTTCTTGAAACTTCCAACAGATGAGGCGAAGGCTACCTCTACTGGTAATGCAGTCCAGTACCCGTGGACTCAAAGGGAGAAGAATTGTAAATGCACACGAGTTTTTGGGTTTGGTGGGCAATTCTCTCGGGGTTTCCAAGTAGATCACCTTAGTGATCACTGGGTAGTATTCCTCTGTCTGGGCGGCTTGGGTTATTCAGTATTTTGTAAGCCACTATCGAATCACTTCATAACCTTCAGTAACTAAGGGTGCATAGGTCTGGGTCTTTTAGTCTATCCTGGTATGGTTTTTGGTTCATCCCAATGAAACCCTTTGTGGCTCGCCTCTGAACTTTCTCCAGGAGGTTCGTGCCTCTTCTCATAAGCGGTGAAGCGAAGACGTTATGGGCCTCCAAGTGGGGGGTTATGTAGGTCTTGTAGAGTTTTGTAAAGATCTCTGAGGTGGGGGCACCTAGTTGTCTAAGCACAGGGAGTAGCACACCGTGTTCTTTTGAGGCATCTCCCGGATAGTTGGAACTGGTGTCCAGTTTCTCCATCGCCATTAAACACAGGTCTTTTTCTGCTGTGGTTTGAGGTAGATGTGAATCACAGGGAGAGCAGAATACTTTCTGCAGATCAGGAGCGATAAATAACATAGACCGGCATTTGTCCAACTTAAATGCCAACTCGCTATGCCCTGCCCACTCCTCTAGTGTTTTGATGTCGTTCTGCGGTCCACTCGATTCCGTTTCTCATTTTACCTCCCTACGTAACTTGACGTCGTCAGCGCAGAGGAGCATTGGAGAGCTGATATGAAGCAGTAGGTAACTCAGGAATAGCAACGGCCCCAGGATTGCTTCTTGTGAGAGACCGGACAATGATGTTCTCCAAGTTGCGTAGACCCAGTTGACTTTCGTCCAGAACTCCCTACCGTTTAAGTAGTTGTGGAGCCACTGTGGAACCTGGTAGTGGATACCCAAGCCAACTATCTTGTGTATCTAGAGAGTGTGCGGGACAGTGTCAAAAGCTTTGGCGAAATCCAGAAAAGTCGCGTAGACCGGGACCTTGAGATCCCGGCATGCTGTTCAGTGATCTTCGGCTTACAAGAGGTTTGCGGAACAGGATCTACCCTTTCGGAAGCTATGTTGGGCACCATTGGGTGTTTGCTTTGTGCTCAGATATTCCCTGATGTGACATCCTACCACGCTTTCCGTAACTTTCGATGTTAGTGGTAGAAATGCCATGAGTCTGTAACAGTTCCGTTTCTGCCAGTCTCCTCCTTTGAAGGCAGGAGAGGGTATGGCCCGTTTCCACGTCCATGAAGGTCCCTGCTCGTCTAAGCAGCGTTCGAAAAAATTGCAGAGCTGGCTACTATTTTCGGGCCTTTGCTAACGCATGCTCTTTGGCTTGTAGATTTTCTCTTTGTCATGAATCGGCATGCGTTCTGGGACTTAACCCAAGCTTCTTGGCGAGGCTGGACTGGAACGACCTCCTGTCTCTCGGCACACTGATGTTGCATCGATTCCATGGAGCTGTATGTGCGTCATGATCATCCTCTTCTTTGGACAGCCTCCATTTATGCCATGCTTTCCCCTCAACTTTCAGGAAACATTCAGTGCCTCCTTTTAGCCCTAAGATCCGCCTTCTGGGTGTTGTTGCCACCAAGGAGAGGTTTACAGAAATCGCTGTCCCAATGACGCCTCTTGCCAGCTGCCAGTCCTGGTCAGCCGATAAGGAGCGACAATCTACCGGCCACTGAGCTCTCCATAGGTCTGTTCCCTCGTAGTTTGCCCTGTTGTAACAGAGGTGAGGGCGAGATCCCTTCTACGATTACCAGGTCGAGCACTGCTATGGCAGGATAGCTGCTTTCAGGGAGAGTTTGGACCTGAACATTTTCAACTAGAGGATGATCACTGGTCAGTAGGTAATCCAGTTTGGATGGTTTACCATCTGACCCCAGCGGGCATCGTCGCTAATTTTTTCGTTCAGTCCAGCCGTTTGGATGTCATTTAGTAGGCTACGGTTGAACGTCCGGCTGGGAGTCGTGCTGCCTCGCTCTAGGCTGAGTTGGAGCGTTGAAGTCGCTAGCTATTAGGATCTGATCGCACTTCAAAATCAACACCGTGGATATTATTTGGAATAATCTTTTGTCGTGTTCCACGTTGTGACTAGGGGACCTATAGACTCCTCCAACTAGGTGCTTCGTGAGTTTGACCTTGAAGTGGCACCCGACGGAGTCTGGGAGTTCTATCAATACAGTGTCAGTAGTTTTTTTCACTTTTGACCCGACTGTCCACGAAGATTGCAACCCCCCTTAGTCCTTGTATCCCATGTCCCTCCTGAACAAAAACATGTCATCCGTTTTGACCCTGGTGTAACTAATGTTCGGGGATACCCATGTTTCCATCAGGATTATAATTTTCTGTACAAGGTTGGAACAGTGGGATCGGGGCTTTTATATTTTACTTCGGAGTCCCCTCACATTGCCCTAAAGACGCTTGGAAGTGCTGCTCGCAACGTGCGATGTCTATGGGTTAACTGGTAGCACAGGTTAGAACCTGGTAGGGGTTTTACTGACTGGCCAGTTCTAGTGGAACTGGCCTACTTAAGTTTCTCCCAGGTCGATTGGTGTAGTCGGAGCTACGTGGAGGTCGCCGGTCTGAATCCCAGCGCGTCGGTGTAGAGTGACGGCGACCTGAGCTCGGGGAGTAACCGCTGTTTGCCGTTGTCTCAGTGTTCCCAGTCTGCTGTCACAGCAGCGAACATTCCCGCCTATAGTGCTCTTGATTTTATACCACATCTCCAGCATTGTATTAGGAACTTCTGGGGAGTTGGAGTTGACGGCCGTCAGTCTGGGTGATGCCATGGTCGTCAGGTGAGAGGAAGCCCGCCGACTGCAGCTGCTGTAACCGCACTTAGCTACATCTGGGCTGATAACCACTCCCGTTGTTGGATATCGTGGGTGTACCTGTCACCTTGGATATCGGCTGTCAGTTCTGGTATCCCATGCATGACCATGGTTGTGGGTCTTCCTGGGTCACCTGCTTCTCCAGATGTCTTCCTAGACACCCATGATCTGTCAGATGTAGCTCTGATGTTGGACGACATGCTGATGACCAGAACGTGTGACAGTAAGGGGAACCTTTCGACATCTCTGGCTGAGCTTACGGTTGCCCTCGCCGGCGAAGGCCTCGTGAGGGTGAATGGGAGCCTTCGTACAGTTGACACAGTCTTGCCTCAAGGGTACCTAGACCTAGCATGACATAAACGCGGCCCCACTGCTGCCCGGCAACCATATCCGTACGCTCCAGAAGGCTACCATTGCAGACGGGACCATTAAGTAGAGCGAAAGAGCTGGGTGGGTCAGTGATGCCTACACCGCCCGGTACTATGGGGGCTTCGGGCTTTCTTTTCTACCCTGACCCATTTATTGTGCTGTCCACTGGTGACCGTCGCTGACGTGGCTCCAGGGCTTGGGGTCGATGTGGTTGCCTTTGGAGTAGACAGTCTTCTGTTAGGTTTTGGACCACCCAGATCAGTGGCCTTCGGGGAGCCATTACCGACAGACCTTGGAAAGTAAATCTCCATAGTAGCCGTTTGGTGGTTACTAGGAGTTTACCAAGCACTCTAAATGAGCCTGAAGCTAAGTACGATGTCAGAATGACACCATGGGCAGATCCACCAGAACCACGTGCATAGATGGCGCGTCATCAGGGTGTAGTACTGGTTTGACACTTCTTTGCCACATCGGCAGCACACCCACCTGTTACAGATGTCGCGCTCATAAGCTGGATCACTTTTGGCTACAATGAGAACACATGTGTGACAGTCGCCGCCATATCCGTGAGCTTTGTCCAAACGCTTCCGTCTTACTCTTTGACGTTTCCGCCCGGTGGTTTTCACCGGCGGACAGAGGCGGGCATTGGGTGTAGCAGGGGGCTCTGCGTTTGTTTGACTGAGGACAGCAACATTTACAGCGCTGTGAGGATTGGCGGCCTGGCCAACGTCGAGCGTTGCAAGTGGTGGCCGTTCGGCTGAGCTGGACCTTTGTGGTGCGTTAGTACCCTATAAAGGTTTTTTCGTCACGTTTTGAGACCTCTTAGCTCCAGGCCTAGCAACTAATGGGGATGAGGTGGTCAGTGAACGCAGTGAAGCTTTGCTCAAAGTGCTTCGGTGACTGGCTCCTTTGAGGGTAGCATACATATACCATGCATGGTATTAAGTAGATGAAGGCGACAACAGTTTCAACGAGAGCAGTACGGCAGTAGATGTGTAAACCAGGTAAACAGAGGACTTTTGACCTTGCCTTCGATTGTCTACTACCGAGACCCCGGCGAATTCTAAAAACTGCCAAGGCCTACCGGCTTAAGTCAGTGAGATACGTTTTGCTGCAGATGCAGCAACTTGAGATATGGCAGTTGGTCCAGATG